CCTATCCTATCCTATCCTATCCTATCCTATCCTATCCTATCCTATCCTATCCTATTTGATTCCATTCAATTCCATTCGATTCTGACTTCACAACAAAAGACCAAGCCCCTGTACTGTTTTTTTTTGTTTGTTTTCTGGACGACTGAGCATCTTTTCAAGCATAACAGATCAATGCAAATCAGTGTCGGGAAGATGGGTTAAAAAAAAGACCGCACTTTTTTTTTTTTTAAAGAAAGAAGAAAATGTGGCATGTATTGATATTTAACATCCTTCGCTATGATATCGCAAAATAAAACCAAGTGCAACCAACTGCTGGAGAAGTCACAGAAAATTGAGAAGTTTAAAACTGTTAGCCACAGCTTATTTATGGCATACAGGTATTGAAATGTAATCAAAATGGGCTTTAAAACCGTTCGAGCCTGGAACACAGATTGATCTCTCAGCAGGAAACCAACCTTAAACATATACAAGACCTGCAAGGAAATAAAAGGTTTTCCTTTTATTAGAAAGGCTCAGTCAAAAGCTTGACGTCTGTCCAACTGAATAATGGAACCAGAAGTGAAGGCTGCTTCAAAAAGGACAATAAACTTGAGAAAGATTTGTTAACCTGAAATATATGAATGTTCCAAGATTTGTAGAAATCTAAGGGATATAAAACCTGAACATGTAACAGGCTGCATGTTATTAGCAAACTTGCTGGATTAGAGAAATTCTTTTTTTTTTTTGCTACTATAGAGATATAAGTAAAAAGTATGATGTTGTCGGGATCAATCAGTAAAGATAAAACCCAGATTCAAGTCAAAGCAAACATGAGACTCTTCTATGTGTTTGCTTTAATCATAAACATGCTGCTGTTGCTGCACAAGCTTTAAATAGGCTATAAAATAGTTTTGTTTAAATACTTTATTGGTTTCATATTTGAATAAACAGGCAGTTTCTAGGAAATTAAATTGCATGTTGTGATTGTGGGTTTGACTAGCCAAGAAAATCCCTTGTGAATATATAGTCAGGGTAAGTGAATATATAGTCAGGGAAAAAGACAAGACTGAGTTCAAGACTTAGAAAATATGGTCTCTAAACTGGTTTGAAGACAAGTCACCAACACCATAAGGTGAAGAACATATCCAATACTTGAAAAATAATATTAATTAAAATAATTCCTACATGGACTTTGATAAACTTAGATGTTTTTCTTCCTTTTTCACTGGATACTTTAAGGTTTCAACACAAACAAATAACAAAAGGTTTATTTCAAGTATTTGAGTAAAAACAGCATAATAATTACAGAAGCTCACCTTATTGCGTTCCAGTTCTCTTCTGTCTTTCTTTCAGTTTTATTCTCTCTATATTTGTTTTCTTCTTCCAGTAAAGAACCATGAGAATGGAAATCCCTCTCTTGTGGGATTCCGATGAGGGCTTCTCCTTTAGTCTTGTTATCCATGTTGCAGTTTAAACTGTCAAATTCAGAGTCCAACATGTATTTCTCATCAAAACTGTTCTGAACATCATCTTTATTTTCCAAATTAGTTGCAGGTTGAGGTTCCCTGAAGTCTTCAGGTTGATCTGAATCCTCCTTGTGTCTGGATTTCTGAAAGTCCTCTAGCTGCGATAGCTGGAGCATTGCTGCATGCAGCTTGGAAATGGTTTTGGTAACTTTGTCCATGATGTTGTCTATGTCTTCTCCAACACATAACAAAATGTCAAAAGTAGACTCTAAACAGGTTTTATTTTTATTTTCTGAAAATGATATAGAAAAGATAACATGGATAAATTAAAAGCAATAAACGAGTAATAATTAAAGAGTGTTTTTGAAATCAGAACAATGCACTAAACACATGGCATCCCCAGTTTGACTTCAACATTCAAAGGCAGCTCTAAAGAACAGGGGTTTTTAAGGCTGACTTAGAAGAGCTCAGGCTTATAGCACGTTTACAGTCTTCTGGAAGTTAGTTCATAGGAGTATAAATGCTGCTTCTCCATGTTTGGTTCTAGTTCTGGGTGGACAGAGTAGGCTTGAACTAGAATACCTGAGTGGTCTGGGAGGTTGATACGCTGACAACAAATCTGATATGTATCCACTTAGTGTTGCCATAGAAACGACTGTTTTCCTTTTCCGTTGGAGGGAAGAGGCCATCCAATTCACGTTTATACCCCTCTTTCAATCAAGGTGCTTTCAACAGCTGGGATTGTGACTTCATTGGGAGTTACACTGGATAGTTAAGGGGTAGTACTTAGGGGATGGTTTGGGATTGTTTTTCTAAAGTTTCTGCCCAGTAGTTAATTAAGTTAGCTAAACAAGGTGTGCAGTGTAAAGGGCGGATTATACTTCTGCAACTGCGCACATCATATGTCGCTTGCTTCTGGTCCTGAACCAGTTTTTCTGGTATGCTTCTGCAAAATCAGTCTGGAATTTCTAGGGACGCATAGCAGTTTCATGCCAAAGCACTAGGGGGAGCTGATTCGAGAACTCGCAAGAACTTCGGAGGATGGTCACGAGAACTTCTTCGGCGGCGCCGGCAGGAGTGTTTATCTTCCAAGTTCTGAGGCATCGTACAAGTGGTTGTACTTCCGAACCCCCTCGATCAACCTTTCGTCGTGGTTATCCATTGTTGTTATTACTCCTCGGTTATTTAAAAATGCTGCGTTCCAGCACCGAATCGAGAAGGACGACCACACAGACAGCCGTAAACGAATACCAAGGACCGATCACAGCTACTTTTTGTCTGCGCTCTTCCGCTTGAGGTCTGCGCAGGTTTGCGACCATCCGACGCGTAGTCAGGATTTTTTTGAGTTGCGCGATGATCGTTGCGGAACCTCTGCACAGGGGGGCATGGTCGCACAGAGACAGATTTGACGGTTGCAGAGGCTATGCGTCAGAAGCATAAATTGGCCTTAAGTCAATCAATGCATGGAAAAGAGCTGAAACACACTGGAAGAGCTTGGACTGAAACATCTAAAGTAATTACTTTTATTTCTCCAGTTCTTACATTATGTAAAACTGGCAATCATTACTACATGTATTACTGGGTGGAAAATAAATGCCTTCAGCTGAATTGATCTTAATTAATCATATTGATGCAATTAATAAAATTGTTATAATTATGTGAAAACAAATGGTTAAAATGCTTTAAATTTGTCAATTTATTTACATAAATTATAATGAATAAATAGTGCATTGTGTACCTTTATTTACAGTTATAAGCACCAAGGATTATTAAAGAAATTCACAATTGTTTGTACTTTCCTGGTTTTAAGGTTTTTAACCTGCATCACCTATTAAATGATCAAAAAAATTAATGAAGTTTTAAAGTGGTTTGTAAAAAACTTGACAAACATGAAAAGTGCAGCAGTATAAAGGTGCAGCAAGAGAGATTGTGTTTAAAACTGTTTCTGTACATTTAGAGTAACTTTAGCTCAAACCAAGAGACCCTGAGCTGCACCACAGACTGTGGGTGTACAACAGAAACAGGAAGCAAGTGTACAGATGTTTACACACAGTGTCAAACTGTCATTCTTTGGTATGGGTTTTGTATAATAGCTTTCACTTGTCTGGAAAAAATCAATAAATCATGAATTGTAAATCTCAACTATTTTAACTTTTTACATAATTAAGGAGACTGTGAAACTCATAAGATCTGATTATATTTTGAAAGACCAAAGGTAAGTCACCCAAATCTTTCACTCTCTACGTGTACTGAAACCATCTTTTATAACCAAAACCTCTTTGCTTTTTATGTCACTATTTAATTATTTTTTATTTTTTTTTACAAATGTAGAATAATATAATCTAAATGTTTATATTAAAACCTTTCAAAATACATCTCCATACCGGAAATGCATTTTGCAATTCTCAACGTCCTTGTTTCTAAAAAATGTGCAAAATAATGTGCCAGGTTAAATGCAGCAGACCAAAAAAATGAATAATTTAGTGACATTCCTTTACTGTTAAAAGAAAAAATTATTATAATATCAATATATCCCCTCTGAAAAAAAGTAGGTCCTTGAAAAGAACTAAATTCTTCACACTTTTTTTATATGATTTCAAGAAGTAGGCTATGGGGATTAGTTTAATACTCACAAAATTACAGATTTTACTTTAATTGTTCTACATGCTAAAGAAAAAAATATATATTAAGGTATTGAAGCAATTATTTATAAAGTAAATCAGGTTTTGAAATCTTTATGTACACTTTGTATACAATGCATCAAACCCACATGCAATAAGGAGGATGCGGTACCTTTTCTAGGGTCAGTCTGATCTTCGTCGCCTCCTTGTGGAAATATTTCCAGCATACAGGCAAATTCTCTGATAACTTTTCCCCAGTCCATCAGTATCTCTGAATGAAACTCATTCAGCTCTTGAAGTACTATAACAACATTCTCCTTTTGCTCTTTAAAGGCACATATTTTTCTCTGTTTGTCCTCCTCTGTACATTCCTCTGACCCGCTCTTTCCTTCCTCTCTGCTGCTCCCACATGCAGATCCAGAATAATAATTTCTGCAGTGCCTGATTCCTTGAGGACCTTTTTCCAAAGTGTTGGAGAGACTTTCCTCAGTGCTTGTGACAAGAGGACAGTTTGCTTCATTGATCCGATGAGTTTCAGTCTGATTTGCATCCATGCTAATCTGAAAAAGATAATAGGATGAGAGCCAAAGGTTTAGAGCTTTTCCTTCAGGCTTCCCTTTCAAACCTCCTTCACTTCCTAGACTTGAAGAAATTGAACCATTTGTACTTGGATTTGGAGCCACTGGTAGTGAATGTTGGTGTGACCCAGGCTGCCCCAGCAGGAGGCAAACCTGCATTCATGTGGCTGCTGGCAGTAAAATGTGTTGCTAAGGTGACCCCGAGACGGGTGGGACAGGGTTAGACAAAGGAAAAGCTCCACAACAAAAGCTTCATGGGAACACAAACATGATACTACTGTCATCTTCCACTCCTCCGCCCCTCAGTTTACTGCATGAGTGAGCAAAGAGATGGAACCCAGAGCTCCTCAGGAATTCAGCTCAATTTCAGACGATAAAGCTTTTTCCTGAGTAGTTCTATCCGGAACAATAGCAATGTTTCTCATTTAAAGGGATCCTTGTGCGTTAATTGTGTTTTAAATTGCATCTTTAAAAGGTTTCGTAGCAGGGAAAATGGTTGAGTTACCCCGGCACCGTGCCAGGCATCAGTTTAAAAGTTTCCTGTGGAGTTCAGTTTTCTTTTTTCTGTACACAAAAATATTCAAAGCACTTAAACTTGTTCAGAATTCTAAGAAAAACCTTTAACATTTTTTACTGGTATTCTATGTAATAAGCCAACACAAAACGGAGCATAACTTTTTTTTTTTTTTTATAAATTACTTTTTTTGGAAACAAGTTTTAGCTTATGCACAGCTAAAGATTTTTATTTGCTTTAAAAAATGTGATTAAGTAGTGTGAGAATCTCAATTATTAACTTTGACTGGGCCTTTCTACCATTTCAATGGGTTTTAGTCTTAGCCATTATATAGCAGCTCCAAGTTTATGTTTAGGGTTGTCCAACTGAAAGGGTAAAGTTGTTCTCAAGTATTTTGTAGTGTCAAAGATACTGTATCTATTTCTCTGGTTCTTTTTCCTGAAAAGAAATCACACAGGACAAACTCTTTAAATAACACTTCCTAACTTATATGTATTAAATAACCAGGAGACATAACAACAGATTTTGATATAAATTGTAATCTTACTCAGATCAGAGAATTTGCTTAGAGTTATAGAAGGCCACATCATCACATCAATGATAATTATCCTAACAGTAGCCTTTAACATGTTGCATTAATTTTGCTTAATCAGTTAATAAGCACTGTAAACCACCAGGTTCCCTGTTCCTGCTGAGGAAAAGCATTCCCACAGCATTATTCTCCCACCACCATGCACGCTGCCACATATAGTGCTCCACGCTCAATGTTTTGTATGCAATCCAAAAAGTTTGGATGGGCATCTTTGCTGCATGGATTACTGGAAAATGGAAATGGAAAGAGTTTAAGAGTGCTAAGCAAATCTGAAAACCCCTCCAGAGTAGCCATTTTACTCTTGGCTGCTTCTCTGAATAAAGCTCTGTGTGTTCTATATATCAGTTTAAGTGGATAGATAGGTCTTGGTTGGTCCACAGATTAGAGTGTGTACTGAACAACACACTGTGTCACATCAAGTTTAAAACTTTAATGTAATTTTGTATACTAATTCTGCTTTCTTCTTAACTTTTTCCCCTGACTTTTCTGCTCCGCTTCTTTACAACATTGTTAGTTCACTAATCTTGTTGAATAAACCTATTCGGATAACAAAACAGCTGCTTTTACACTTGTTTTTTTTTTCTTGGATTTTATTTAGGGGCTTTAGAGTATGGGGCAAGTTCAATAAATGCCAGGCTTTGCCGATTTTCTTTCTTTTTTGTGTGTGAAAATTTTTTTCTTTACCCTTCACCATTAAATTACTTTTTTTTTTTTTTTGCTTATTACACAAAATATGAAATGCATCAATTCTGGTGGTAATTTAAATAATTTAACAAAGTTCAAGACATTAAATTTTTTACAATATATAAAATAATTGGTATTGTATTAAGTACAGTAAATCACCCACATCTCTTCTATGGTATACAGTAGTTTCATCAGAGCTGAGCACTAGATGTGACCATACAAGGTATCATCCTACACACCTAACACT